AGACACTTGCAGGTGTTATTTGACACTAGATTGTCATGCCATTTCCTCCCAGAGATTTCCATTTAAAGAAACAAACAAGCAAAAAGAGCAAAAACAACAAGGCTTGCCTGTTGGCCTGTGGCCTCACATTCATCATAAAAACAAAATCAGGCTGCTGAGACTCAAGTTTTTGTGACAATGTCACCTTGGGAGGTAAAGGCCACGAAACATCCTTGTCATTTCAACTACAAGCTAATAAACTCTCCCCTCAGACAAGCGCAAGTGACAACTCTCAACTAGCCTGATACAGGTAAAAAGCACCTGAAGTGACAATCTGCTTTGCTACCAGTATGGAGATGCTGAAGACAGACTGGAACACTGCTTAGGCAGCAGCTCTCACACAGGTGAGTGTCTTCACAGAGCTCTTGCAAAAGACAGGGCTGTACCTCAGCTTCCCAAATTACTCTTTCCAAGAAAGATGCATTTATCAGCAGGCTCCCAAGTCAACAGCAGCCTTCAGGACACTTACCATTTCTCACAGAGATGAGACTAAAAAGCAGCATTTCAGGAAAAAAAAAATGAATTATTTTCTAAAAAAAAAAAAAAAAATCTGAGTGAAGCAAAATATAGTTACATTTGTTACATTCAAGGTGACAAATACTGCTTTTAAAAATCAAAATATATTAATAGTGAGTACTTGAGAGAAGCCCCTTGCTTGCTCAGTAATGCCTGGACTAGCAACTAATCTACAAATAAAAGCCAGTTTATTTAGCATTTTATGTGAGTTTTATGCTTTGTGATGTGCAGATATTGAAGTTACATACCCTTTTTTATGTAATTCCAGCAGCACTTATGACACTGCAGAATCTTAAACAGCCCTTTAAATGTTAAATGGTCCTATGCTGAATTATTATATTACAAAAATAAATTATAATATACCTATGGAAAGCTAGCCCAATTCCACAGTTCATGCAAACTTATATACGAAAATTGCTAGTTAAAAAAAAAAAAACACAAAAGTACTAATTCAGTAAAAAATGATGGCATGTGCACATGATAAATGCAGTACTGTTCAGAAGGTGGCTATACATTAAGCAATGATACCATTAATAAATAACTTTTAACAAACACTCTTTTCAGTGGTGGCCACTGATAGGACTAGAGGAAATGGCTGGAAACTGAAGCATCAAAAGTTCCACAGGAACTTAAGGAAAAATTTCTTAACAGTGAGGGTGACAGAGCACTGGAACAGGCTGCCCAGAGAGGTTGTGGAGTCTCCTTCTCTGGAGATCTTCAAAACCCACTTGGACGCAGTCCTGTGCCACGTGCTCTAGGTGTCCCTGCGTGTGCAGCGGGGTTGGACTAGATGACCTCTAGACCTTCCAAACTTAAGCATTCTATGATTCTATGACTCTATGAAATATGCAACCTCAGAAATGTAACTTGCCTGAATCATATCCACACTTTATCTCTTTATCCAGCCGAACTAAATGCATCTTGGAGAACAGAATAAAACCTCTTAGGAAATGGTTTGCAGAATTTATTAGTTCTTTTTAATATATATTCAATACTTTATCAAGCTAGTTGCATATAAAGTGATCTCCACCATATACAGTACAATTTCTGTGCATCATCTAAAAAAAAAAAAAAAAAAAAAGGAGTCAACCAAAAAGCAATAGTTTAATGGTTACAATTAACATTGAATTGACCCCAAAAAGTTAACCCTTCAGTAATGTCATTTAAGACACTAACCTGCACTTTGCTTCTAACTGCAACATCGAAATTCAGTTTCACAGCAAGCTCAAGCTGTATTCAAAAAGAGGCTACTGTCATCTCATTTTTTCTTTCATTTCTGTAATTCAGTATCTCAACACAGCACAAATTTAATGTGTTGTTTACTCCAAACAAGGAAATAGAGTATGACCTTTCCTCTACAACAAAGCCTGCTAGGAATATATATGCCTCAAGAAAATAAGGAAACTCCTTCAGTAGAAGAACTATCCAAACCAGATTTATGAATGGAAAAAAAATATTTTAATATTTTCTTGATTAATGCTTGGAGCTGCTCGTAAAAAGCAATAGCAGCAAGCACAATAAGTAAGCTAGTATTAATAATGAATTAAAGCAAAGCAGGTTCTACCTGCAGCAAGCGCTTCCCAGTTTAGATCACACTTTAGAATGGGCTCATGCAGATAATTAACAAATAGATCTTCTGGTATCTTTGCAAGATGCTAGTTTACTGGCCAGGCACATTTGTTGTAAATATAAAAAGAACCCCAAGTGCTGCAATTTACACCACACTTTCAGAATTTAACATAACAGAATTGGGTAGGACATAGGAAAAATATTTAACAACTTATATAAATATATTAACATCTCAGCAAGAAATGTGAGAGCCCATGCACACAACACAGTAAACTGAAAATAACATTAAAGACTTGACTTTTCCTTTCAACAGCACTGACACCTGAATTCTGAAGATCCTTAAAAATGTACACAGTATGTCATAACAGTCTTTCTCCACACAATCTGTATGCACGGAATCATACTGACATTACACAGCACAGAAACAAGCAGCAGATGCATCAAGGGGACAGAAGCTCTATGCATCGTGTGGCCTGCCCAGATAGAGGCAAACATCAGAAAACCGTTTCTGACAGCAGCAGAGATACAATCAATATAGCTAATTGTATACCCGTCATTCTCGAGAGTTAATCCACAGCGAAGGGAAAAGATTAAAAAACACATATATGCACCCAGCCTCACAAGTGACATAAGCAGAGATTTAGCTTTCAAAACTGGGTCCATTCTGGGCTGGCCTTGATGCACATGCAGTACATTGGTTTTCAGAATGCAGGATTAATTGGGAATGTCTGCACTAGTGTTTCGATTTCCATATTTGTGATGGATGATCAGCAGTACGACTCCTAAAAAGAAGCATATGGACCCCACAGTGATGTAAGCAATTCCCAGAAAGGGATTTTTGCCTCCCATCCATGAGATGGTGCTTAGGATCATTCTTTTTCGTCCATCAAAGCTATGCACAGGATAATCTGAAGAACATTTAGGAAAATAAGAAGCACGTTCCCAAACCTATTGGCATTTTGTCTGCCACATTGAGATACTGGACTTCAATCAGGATCCAAAGACAAACACCCCTCTGTGAATGCCAGAGGTGCAGATATTAATGATTTAGTGTTCTTTATTTAGACAAAGACTAAGCTACGCACTGCGGCAGGAGTGCTCAAGCTCTATTTAAATGAAGAGTAAATGGATACATCTGTCAACTTTGGAAGACAACTTCTATAAAATGAGGGAAAATCAGATTCTTGAATTATGAAGTTTTTATTACTGACGTCCCTTCAGTTTTATAAGCACTCCCCTCTGTTTTGCCGCAAAGACCACTACAGCAGCTTTCTACATGAGCACTAGGCAGCAGCCAAACAGATGATTCAGAGCTTTCAGACATCAAAAAATCAGTAACTATGACAACCCTCCTGCATTTCTGCCTACTCTTTAGTTTGCCAAGACAGAACGACAGTCATCACCCACCTGATCCACAACTCTGCTGTTCTGCTCATCTCCAAAGTCCTACATTACATCTTGTTGTTCTCTATCACTGAAGTCAATTGACTGAAAATGTACTCTCAAATTTCTAGGCTAACAACTACCTCTGCTCCATTCTTCTTCTAATGCTTTTCTCAACTCCTTTGCAAAACACCAGCTTCCCATTTTCTTCTCTCAGTGAAGGCAGCCATTTATTTCTAGGCACAGACTGCAGCAGCTGCACGGCAGAGCAGGAAGAATGGGAAACCTGGCACGGCACGTACTGCCGCTGAAGGACCAGCTGGTGAAGACTGAAAGTATCCCCACACATTAACAAAATGTGAGAGAAAGAAGGTTAATGAGAAAGTGACTTTACTCTTGTGAGAGTTCAAGTCAAGGACATAGAAGACATTAGTGCCTTCCAAAATCTGCCCATCAGGCCAAATATATTACTTTTTCCCTAGGATTAATATGCCTCCATTGCCTCCTCACAAAGGCCTCCTGTATAGAAACTGTAGTTCCTGTATAGGAACTACGGAGTCCTGCAAACTACCTATTAGTCAATAGTTTAAAAGTATCGAAGATAAATCGCACTTGAATCAAAGAAAGCAAGCTAAGGTTAAAAAGGTACTGCATGAAAGACTATGATTTTACAGATTGCTCCTGTATTAGAATGCATGTGAAGAACATTCATTCTCTGAAGTAGGCTATCCAATTTTTGTGACCTGGAACTACACTTTTAGAATCATACGCTTCAGAAAATAGTCTTAACTAGTTGAGAGAGCTCAGACTTCATAAAGCTATCCTGAAGTTAAAACTAGCCCCATTATTTCATTTATGAAACCTAAAAAACATTCTAAATTGTATCTAAGAAAGAAGTGCAACTTGATTTCATAAACTCGCACCGGAGTATAAGACAGTCCTTCTTCTACACAGTTCTCACTAACACTCCTCAATCCCTGTTTGCTGCCATCTCTTTTCAGAGATCCTAGGAGAGGAGGCTCATTCAGTTTGAGCTTCCACAAATACACACCCATGTAATCCAGCTAACTCTGCTGGGAGCTTCTAAAGTTTTTCAAAAGGATACTGTATGTGATATCCAAGGAGTATTTTCCAGCCTGCAAGGTAGGCTGTAAGTTATTCTTCCTCTCGATGAGGCGGTACAGCTTGCGAAACGTAGGCAGCGCCGCAGTTCGCATCCACACAATGAAGTCCTCGTTGATGAAGCCGTTGTTGTCGGGCTCCGAGTCCAGCATGTACACTGGCTTGGGCCAGTTTACAGGCTTGGTTGTGCCTAGGGTCAAATAAAAACAAAAACAACAGTAAAACACTTTTCTAATGCAGGGCTTGAAATGACACATGGGGAGTGTCCTCAAAATTCTCTCTCATATTACAAGGAACACTTATTAGCTTCTAAATAGTGTGGTCAGCCCGGCTGGCTCATTCTTGTTGCAACAGGGCTGCACTGCTTGAGAACTTTGATTTTTGCAGCTTAAATCATAGTCCATATTCACTTATTCTGATGTTAGCATTGCTCATTACATAGGTTCTCCTCCCCTATTTATATAGATTAGGAAGTTTTACCGCAAAACATTAAGCTGCCTTAGTGAGATAATTCTCCATTATGATTGCAACTCCTCTCCCAGTTGCTACAGTTTGACTACCACTCCTCAGACCATGAGCAAATAAAGTTGGGCACAATTTTTCAGATGATGTCACACTGGTGCTTTACGGACTGCTTTCCTAAATCTGTTGGAAATATAATTCTGCACCTGTAGTAGGGTAAGTTATCTGACTTTCTAAGGATAGCACCACTTTGGTAACATACAATTTAGCTATGACTAAGCAATAAATCCACATCAGGTTACACAGGAAGCTGTTATGTACCTTGCATATGGGCACACACCTTAAAGCCCCAAGGAAGATCATCTTGTTAGCCAGACACAATTTCGGTTTACCAAACTGTATTTAACTAGAACAACTGAGAGAGAATTTACTCACTTCTAATCACAAAAACAAACAAACCAAAACACCCCACCCAGAGGTTTTTCGAAAACTTCATACAATCTACCAGTAGACACAGTTAAACAAAAACGCCACATAAAAGGTTTGGTTACAACAATTGCAGGATTTGTTTTAGAGCCAAACCCAAACCCTACAGCAAGTGAAATAAAGATTAGAAATAAAAATTCACGTTAAATACTATTCTCTGATTTTTCAATGACCCAAAGTGCAACTAGAAACATCATTTAATACACACACATGAACTGCTGCAACATAAATTAGGAATTAGATGCCAAAGTGCGTGTCACAGAAAATTAATTTAAAACTAAAGAATTGCCACAAAGAGCATTAGGAAACCAGAAAAAAGTACAAGACTTTTTAAAAATTGTTTTCTATTTGAATACCTGTTTGTGTATTTTCAGTTCAACTTTTTCAGTGAACCTTCTTGGTACTTCAGGCTTCCCTGAAGTACCTTTTAAAGTTTAGCAGAGCTTTATATTACATTTATTTATACTATAACATAGAAGTAAAAGGCCTAAGTTGATGATAAGCCACTGACTGAAATTAGTTCTCTGTAGCTTTAAAAAGGCAAGAACAGAATAAAAACAGGTCCTAGTTTCACAGTTTAATGATTGCAGAGAAGTTAAACATAGATTTTAGCATTCTTATTTATAGGCAATCTTTCTAAACAGTTTTTAAATTTGATTCTCTGCACAGAACTACAGTATTCTTACAGTCATTAAAACGATGTCAGTGAGGTAAAATACAGGCTGAATCAAAGCATTCTTGGAGTGTTCTGGTGGTCTTTTGATCTTAAAATTCCAAATCTTTCTTACCTTGGAAAAGCGCGGTTAAGTTATTTGTTTCTCCTGAAGGATTCCTAAACTTTACATTTTTATCTGTCCACCACGCGATGCCCTTTTTAATCAAAGGAATCGGAATCCTTGTATCGTTATCAATGCGGTATAATTCCAATGTATCTAAGGAGAAATTCAGATTAGAAAAAACAACTTACAAAAACAACTGCACACACACCACTACACTTTCATTTGACAGATGATCCACAGGCAGTAAAACTATCTCCACAATAAACAAAAAGCAAACAAAAAATTGGACCAGACATCAGCTGCCTGCCATTTCTGGCAAGTGTATTATGTATTACAATACAGTTTTATCTAATATGTGCGTCTGTTTAATTGCTTTAACAGCTTCTCGCAACAGGTATTTCCATCCATTATGTGCTGTAAGATTAACTCAATTCTGATAGGCATTTCAAAAAACAAAAAGCAACAACAGCAGTAAAGCACAAAATATCTATTTATATTGAGCAATCAATTCAAAGGGAAAAAGCATTATGTTTTTACTCAAGATTAATTTCCAACACAGTATGAAACATGCATTACATCATGAAAACATCCCAAGTGCTAATTTAAAGGTGTTACCATACCATTAAACATACTGTTGGCAATAGCACCACAGGGAGCAATAGGCTTGTCCTCGTTTGTGCGGTAAGGCTCGCATTCCTTACTTGGATTCTGGCATTTAGAAAGAGAGAGAGACAGGTAAGTCTGCACTCGTCTACCCAATTAACTTGGCTTTTCCTACAGTATTTCTATCTGCACATCTTGAATGCACCACAATAATCTTTTGCTAAATCAGTTATTCACAAATACTTTAATATTGAATATTGAACAGTATAATGATTTTTCTTTTAAAAGTATGAATAAAAACCTAAAGCTGGAATCTCACAAAAGCCAAACTAAAAAGAAAAGGAAAAAAAAAAAAACTTTATAAGGGTGCTTTCTCCATTAGGAATACTCAGGTATTCTTCTGATGAAGGTTATTTTTTAGTATGAGTCAGTACTGGCAAAAATATACTGTAATAAAAATAATAAAAAAAAGATAAGCATAACATAAAATGCAAAAAATTGCAAGGATTACAGGAACATGCCAAAAGTGCAAACAGAAGAAACCCCATGTCAGCCATCATCTGTAACTTCTTGGAACCATCCCCTTTAGAACATTTCCAAGTACACGTAGATGTTTTTTTAAAAACAGTGTAATTCTGTCTGGAGCCACATAAAGACCCAAACATATTTACATTCCTCCTAAAAATGAGGAAGGGAAGCACTCCGGCCCTAAGCATTACACGGTATTTTGAACAGAATACAGAGTCCGGACATTTCTAATAATGCTGAAATTCAGTACTGAACCTAAATCTACAAAAGCAGGTTCATGTAGCGAGACCAAACCGAGTGCCAAGAACCTGAAAATTGTTTTTCAAGGAAAATAAAAACTTCAAAGAGAATGGAGATAGCAGATCTTACTTGCTGAAGGTAATATGACAAATTTAAACTATTCAACACTGAAAAACGTTCACAGTACACCATTACTATCCACTAACCGAAATTATTAGAGTACATTACAGTCATTTCCTGTAACCAAAATGTCCTCTAATTCTGGAAAGACAAAACCCTATCACTTAAGCATTATTAAAATATATACTCTGGTACATGGAGATTTACGCAATAGTCAGAAGTCAGTTGCTTAGTACTGCCTAGGCATAATACTTACAAGCAATGAACTGTTATCTCCATTTAGCTGACTGTCATCTCGAGATTTCACATACCGACGATGGTTTTGATAGAAGTTGGAAAGCCCATAATACATGAATACATTGCTCTACAACAAGCAAGATGAAGCAAAATGGATTTTCATTCACCCAAAGAAGAGAGAGATCAATGAAATACATTAAAAGAGTGACTGAAAGATTAAATTTTAACCTCTGAAATTTTGTGTTTATTTTACAGCAGCATTAATAATTAAGCAGCCTCAATTCTCTCCTCCCACTGACAGTGCCCGAAGAGTTAGTACTCCTCCTAATCCTAAAAGCTGGTATCCTAAAGTCAAACAGCATCAACATGCCATCAGTAAGACGTCCATCAGTGTTAAATTCCAACAGTTATCCTGTCCAATTCTAAGCACTGAAGTGTTGTTGTTGGCCTCCAGTTTGTCAGAAAACATCTGATTTTTCTAATTCTTGCTGAACTAAGCTTTTCTTACTCATGCAGGAATATCTAGTCTACTGGCTAGCTATATGACACATACTAAGCATGTAGATGGTAGATCTACATACACATCACAGAAGTTTTTCAGCTAATATTACACATTTCCCACAGATTTTGGGAATTCCCCATTAATACCAGTTTCAGACCCTGCTGAAAAGGGGCACAAAAATAAACATACAAAGTCTATCAAATCCAAGTGAACAAGACCACTAGAAACAGCCTTTTCATATGGAAAAGAAAATAAGCCTGCTGTAGTGCAGCCCTCTTTCCAGAGAAATCATAATAAGCCATTCTAATTCTACTTTATATACAAGTTAATATACCTCAAATGAATGCTCCAGTGTGAAATCGATAGTGCAAGTACAAGGTGGTGTGCTGTCCCAGGACACATTTAAACATTTGTTGCAAGGACTAGAAGACTCTGTTCCTGTATAATCAATCTATAATAGGAAAAAAAAATCATTAGATTGTAATGGTAGAGTGAAAAAAAAAGATTAATATGCCAAATAGCTGATGTAGATTCATTTTGCAGTCTTTGTCCACCTCAACTCCAAAATCTTATTCAGATCTAAAGGTTCAATTTTTGCCTCAAACAAACTTAACTCTGGAATGGACCATTACTGATAGTCAAACAAAAAAGAAAAATCAGATGATATTTTGATGTTTCTAAACACACATACTCTATATATAATGGGCAGATTTGGGGGCTTGGATATTTTCCAAGAGGTTAAGAATCAGTCCAGATATTCAGTATAAAAAATACTTTCACATAAGATTTTGCTTTGCTGCTCATATTTAGGCATAAGTTTTTGGTTTGCCAAGAACAAGAAATACTCACAAATGGACAAGACGACCATAGGTCATAATCTGTCTCATTCAAAATGGTTTGTAATAATATAGCTTATTAGTGAAAATAATATAAAACCAAACTTAAGCTACGAGATAAACACATGCATGACTTGGCTCTGTGACCCAGGCTGACAACAGTTACTTGTCTCCCTTAGCTATCTCTTGCATTCGCCTTGAGCACGTGAAGGGCAGGAAATAATTAAAGCCAGCTCAGCAGGTTGGCTGCAAGCGTAGGACGAAAGAAAAGGGCGACAAACTATTTTAGAGTAGTATCATTTGAAGCAGTAGTTTCAAGGAATGACTGACGCCTGTTTTTCTGTTATCTCAGATCAAATCCACAGTTTCTGTTCTGCTGCCAGATTTCTGATAAGTGAGATCCCCCTCTATCAGACCTAGCTGCAGCAAGTCAGCCTCAGAAGCTGTTAGAAGGGGACAGGCAGACAGGATCCCGTGGACTTTGCTTTCTTCACCAAACAAGATTTTGAGTCTGTGTTGATCTGGAAATAGCACTACATCAGTAGTCCCCGAGAGGTCTATTTAGCTACACAGACCACCATGGTTCTAAACAGTCCACAGATCTCATTTATTCACAGCTAATCGTTCTGTTTTTCTTCCTCATGCTGAAGCAATCTTAACAGAGCATTTCCCTTAAAAAAAAAAAAAATCATATCTTAGAACTCTGCACTGACCAAAGAACCATCGCAAATGAAGAGCAAAATTCAGTTCTTTAAGACCGCAAAAGATCTTGAGACTCCAATTTTAAAAATAATTTAAAAATAATACCCAACATTCAAGATGCATGCAATGGCAAGCTACTTTTTTCCCTGTTTTCCATTCCTACTAATGCCTTGATTTGCTTGCCTAAGCACTGCTACAGCTTTCGGAGTGGTGGAGCAAGAGCACCTCTTTTGTATCTTTTTTTCTGGGGGGGGGAGATATTGCTTAGTTCTTACTATAATTTAATACACTCTGTAAACATGATCCTTCCCCATATAGGGATGAAGACTCTTCCACCCTTTAAGAGTACAAGCCAAAAACAAACATGCAGCCTTTTCTGATTCTCTGCCCTTATAAACTGTTTTTGGGGTAGTCCCAAGGTATTTCATCCCCTTTGAAATCATGAGAAAGTGCTGAAGAACAACTAGTATAAAAGCGCCATGATTCCAGTACATTAAAGCCATTGGAAACCTTCCATATTTGAGCTGAAGAGTGTTTATAAAGGAAATCAATTGAAAAAAAAAAAATCTGCATTTTGCTGCTCAATCCTTGCACCTGTATGAGAACAGCATAACTCCCAGGACAACTAATGGCTACAATACTTAATTCCAGGAAATTGCAACTGTACAGGTATGTATTTTGGGGTCACACCTCCTATTCAACTCCAGTACACTAAGTTTAGAGACATACACGCACACTTTACAGCAAGGCTATTGTCTAGAAGGTGGGAATAAATAACTAGCTCTGCTTCCTGTTCCAATTATAGTTTAAAAATAGCCCAGTCACTGCATCTGGCTTTCAGATGCACTGGCTCCAGGAGTTAAATTTACAGCTATTTGTGAATAACATTTGGAGGTTACTATCAAAAGCCAGCATGCTAACCCCAGAGGGAGCCACCCAAGCTGGAGATACAGGCAGTAGCTGTACCTTACACTGCACTCCTCACTAGTATTTAGAGGTTGGATTGCAGAACAGTTCATTTAAGTTTTAATACTGCTACGGTACTGCAACCACTTATTCTAATTTCATCTTGCTTCCAAATGTGAATGTCTCCTTCTGCTTGGTCGGGGACTGTGAAGGGGAGCACTACTCACGCTCTGCATTCATCTATGGCTTTTAGTACTGCATGTGTTAGGTGAAAAGATGTAGTCAGTGCTTATAGCTCTGCAGAAGCACAGGACTGAGTCACTAAGCAGCAATAGTATAGACAATCTCTGAATGCACCCACAATGGAAATACAAGATAAAGGATTCACTTATATTTGTGCACTCAAATGAAATCCTGGTGCATATTCTGTCCTTACAGATCAACCCATAGGAAAGAGTTTCACTGGTCCATCATTGTAAACAAATAAGAGTCCTTTGGAAAAACAGTAATTTATCTTAAAAATTACTTCAAGGGGGCATTAAAAAGCCTACATAGCCATGACACCTGGACAGTCTTCTCTGATGCCACTATGTTGACTTTAAAATATTATGTATATCCTCAAACAAGAAGTATTTTTCCCTTTTCCAGTGGCTTCTTTGCCACTGATTATCATCAATTAAGGCACTGTTCTGAATACTACTTATATGAAAAGACCAGGTTATCTAAGTTACTGGAATGTCTTGATCTATAAAAGACAGAATCTCCAACACTCTAAACAACTGCACCTTCCCCAACTCATCTTGGGCCCATTAGCCTACCAGAACTAAGATGTCAATTTGCACTTGTGCCTTTGAGCATAAACTGCTTTCTAGCCTGAAGAGAAACTTCCTTACAACACAAATAATTCTGCTATCAAAGGGATACAGTTCAGTTCTGAGAAATACTGAGAAACTTCAAGATAGCAGCATGGCTGATTTTCAGACATAAACGACTTTCAGCTTTTATATTTAGGAATAATAATAATAAAAAAAAAAACATACACTTGAGGGCCTCATTCTCTCCCATCTTTGTTGTTAAGCCTACCTCTGAACATACTGGCTCCTAGAAAGCATCTGAAATGATAAACTGTTAACATGAAAATTACAACAACGTATTCACCACAAAAATCTGTCTTGAAATCCTAATTACCTTGAAGTCACAGATATTTCCTACTTCCATAATTTACCTCATGAATGATGCACACACTTTTTTTTTTTTTTTTCATTTTTATACTGAAAACACGACCAACACCAAGATGTGTGTTGCCTGGCATTCATTTCCCCAGAAGTTCACTTAAACCTGACAGGGGTACCACAACCCAAACAGCAGATACTCCTTCAGCTCAACACCGAGCCAAAGTAATTAACGGTAGTTCTAGAGAGAGCACAGATGTCAAACTGGCAGCACCGGCCCACGCTGCCACCTCATCCCAGAGGCCACAGAAACCACCTCCTCTTCTCCTGCCTTTCCCCGGCAGGGCACCGGGCGGCTCGCAACATGTCACACGACACCTCTAATCCCACCTAACGCCGCTCCGGCCCCGCCAGGCCCCCTCCCCAC